TCAGTGGTACCATGCCTGCCTCACAAGTGCAAGGTCCTGAGCTAAATCCCCAGTACTGGTAAAAGAAAAAAACTATAGATTATTGAACTGATATAAAAATTAATTCTGCCCATACAAAAAAATACTAATACATGCTACAATATGTATGAATCTTGAAGACATTATGTTAAGTAAGCCAGACATAAAAGGTCAAATATTTATATTGTGTGACTTCACTTATAGATGGTTAAACTCACAGAGAGAAAAATAAGGAGAAATGGTCACAGAATTCAATGGGGGAGATAAAGTTTGGAAGATAAACAGTGATGACAGTTGCACAACACTTTGTACTTAGAGTCATAGACTGTATATTTTAAAAGGTTTGGGCCGGGGATTTAGCTCAGTGGTTTCGCCGCCTGCTGCGCAAGTGCAAGGACCCGAGTTCGATCTCTGGTACCAAAAAAAAAAGAGTTTAAAATGGAAAATTTTATGAATATTTTCCTGCAATTTCAATAAATCATTTCTACTCTTTTACCTTCTTTTCTGCTGCTATCTTCTGCTTTATCCAAAGGTAACTCCTGCATTGTAACATCTTTAGAAAAATCCTGTAAGATGTGAAAAGAGAAAGTGAGAGATTAAATAAGCTTTATAATTTATTACTTAGCAAATACCACTTACTAGAAGCAAAATGCTGTGCAGTACGGAGCCCAGAGCCATGAAGATAGGCACCAAGATCCAAAAGCCAGTAAATTCCAAGGATTAGGAGCTTATATGGTGATGGTGGCCAACAAGAAAAGTCAGGACCAAATGACAGAGGACCTGCTCCTATTTCTAGAGAACAACACAATCTGATGTTGTATGGCTTCAGGGTGCAATGGATAAACTTGGCCCTGTTACAACTGCACCCTCTAGTCTAAAGTCTTCTGTTCCCAACATCCTTGATGATAATGTGCCTTTACACAGGGCAGTTTCAGTCGGAGAGATAAGAGAAGGCATGAGGGGACAGTGCCTCCCCTTGCTATTTCTAGCACTAGACCTGAAAAGAGAGACTCTAGTTTCTACAGGTTCACTGGAGCAGAAAAGCAGTAATGTTAGTAGACCGACTCAGGATGGTAGAGCTGCAACCCGACTAATGGCAGCAGTGAAGCCTCTGAGGGAGTCAGACTCTGAGGACTGCTAATACTAAGCCAGAACCAGATGATCTCACAGATGAAGACCTCAATTTTGTGCAGGAGAAATCCCTTGTCTCAAAAAAAAACCCCACAGTGACGCATACAGTTCTTCATGCCCTTCTACTGAAATTTATCAACCACCTTTAAGTCAAAATGCAGATAGTGGTGCTCATTTAAACAAGATACGATTTTAGCAGCAAAATAGTATTTACGCTGCTACACAACTGGATACACTACACAGTTGGATGTATGAAACAGGAAATTTATGTGAACCAGAGGTGCTTAACAGCTTAGAAGAGACTTACACTCCCTCCTGAGAAACAACTCAGAAAAGAAAGAGTATTGCAGAAGAAAATGTTGAAAAAGGTTGCCTTGGTAAGTTCAGTTGTTAAAATAAAAAAATTCAATCACGATGGAGAAGAGAAGGAAAATGAAGATTATGGCTCCCAGATAGGAAGTGTGTCCAGCAGTGCATCAGTCCCAGCAAAACCTGCAGGGAGACCTTGTCTTCCACCTTCTCAACAAGCTAACAAGAATCTGATTATAAAGGCTACATCTGAAGCTCACGAATCTGTAACGAAAACAATCAACTATTCTGAACTCAAACATTTCAAGAATTTCTAGCAGAAGCGGTCTAGGGCCAAAGCAGGACCCCCAGAGTTGGTGCCCGTATTAAAGAAGAAGAAACAAAAGGAAGTAACACAGAAAAAAATCAAGGGACTCAACAGAGGCAGCTGTTATCCCGATTACAGACTGACCCAGCAATGGCAGAAACGCTGCAGATCAGTCACACAAAGATGAGTGAACTGCCTGTGGCACAGAAACTAGAAAGCTTTTGGAGCTCAGCACGTACCAGCCTGCTTGTAAAAATGGAGATGAGTGTGCATACCACTATCCCATTTCACATTTGTTCATCCAAATGGTAAATATGATGCAACATGTACTAGATTGTCCATTCACTCTATCAATAAAAGAATTCCAATACTGCCTCCAAAACCAGCAGTTACAACACCAGCATCACCTTCTATCAGTCAGCTCTGCTGTTACTTCCCAGCTTGTAAGAAAGTGGAACGTTCTGTCTCCCAAACACTGTAAACACTCAATGTACAAGACCAGACTGCACAGTTTATCACCCCATAATACTGTACCACCAAGACATGCCTTGTCATGGACTTGACCTCAGTCCAGTTTGCAAGTTTATTATTAAGTGGTTTTAACATTGGGTGTTTTCTTGTTTTGTTTTTAGTATGTGTTATGGCTTGTGTCTAGATGTTGCCCTTAAGCTTTCTGTGGTCATTGGTGGGGCTTTTCAGAGGTGGCTGGACCTAGAGTGTGTGATTACTAAATTAGTCTGTTGATTGGTTTGGCATAGTTTGAGTGTGGATAATGGGAAGGCCCACTCTGGGTGTGAGTGCTACCTGCCCCAAGGACATGTAGCCTGGATAGAATATAAGGGACAGAAAGAGGGCTGCTACCATTCCTTGCTGCTACTGTTTCTGCTACTGCTTTGCTACCTCCTGCCTCCTATGGACTGTTTCTCCTCTGCTATGCCCCTGTGCCATGCCACCCCGTCTTGAAACCAGCCGACTGTGGACTGAAACCTCTACAAACTGTGACCCAAATAAACCATTCTTCCTTTAACTTTGGCTGTTGGGTATTTTATCTCAGCAACAAGAAAAGTAACTAAGTTAATAAGAAAAGACAATTTAAAGGTATAACTGAATTTTATTCAAACCTCTGAGGTGTGTTTATACCCTGCTGTGTATCAGCATTTAGAGTGGTGTCACTGGGAATGATGGCGCTGCAGCTCAGGGCTGCACCACTGTGGTGAGGCAGAATCATTCACAAAGTTGGTGCTGCTTTCACTTTCCCCAAAGATGATAGTTTTTAATTTACGATGAAAGCAGAAGTGGCCAAAAGCATTGAGGCAGCTTAAAAAGGTCATTCAAATTCTGCTTTTTATTTTTAAATGAATGTAGTTTGAAAATAATAATAATACGGGCATCTCAGTTTGGGTCCCACTTTGGTAAAATTGACCTTAGGTCCTGTGCCTTCTGTGAAATGAGTGAGGTGGCCATGGTGGGTGAGAATAATAAGTGGATAAAACAGGAACAAGTCCTTAAAATGCTTGCATTGACTATTAATATAAACTTCTCAAATCTAGGGGAGAGCTATATTATCACAAGATGATACAAAAATTTTACCAGGTGTGGTAGCACACACCTATAATCCCAGCACTTGGGAGGTTGAAGTAGGAGGATCACTGTGAGTTCAAGGCCAGCCTGGGCTACATAGCAAGTTCAAGGACAGCCTGAACTACATAGCAAGACCCTGTCTCAAAAAACCAAAAGGAGAAAAAGAAAAGGAAAAGGAAAAAAATTTTTACAGATTATATATATGAGATACCAAAAAGCCCACTTTAAACTCACAAGATTATAAATATACATATATATTCTGACATTCTGAAAAATAACTTTCTCAGAAATAACTCCACAGAAAATATACTTAGTTACTCCTGAAGATAATTTTTGGAATGTAAAAGCTAGATTTCAGTAGTATATTTTAAATGCCAGGACTATATAATTACAGATCAGATGAGTAAACTGCAAAAGAGAATGAAACTTTTGGCCTACTATATTAATTATGGCATTTTCTGTGTGGTTTTTCAAAACTGTTAAGGCAAGAACCTCAAATGCTCTAGAATTAAATAACAGCTGATTTTTTTTAATAGCATTTTCCAGCTGTGGGACTACTGTGGTCTGGGAGGGCAGGACTGTATGTGTTACATACTTCACTCTCAGCACTACTCCATGCATAGGTACCGTGAAGCTACTCCAAGGTGTGTTAAGTGAGTAATGCGCTGTCAGACAAGTGAATAAACAAGTAAATGAACAAGCAAGCCAATGCAGCACTGAGATTCAAACTCAAATCCTGATTTCCCACTTGCAGCAAAGCAAATTACTTTACACATCAGTTACTTCAGTCCCATGTGGAAACCCAACTTTCACTGCATCAAACGGAGTGGATAAGGGTGGTCAGTGAATACAATACAATACCTCGCAAATCAATCGCAGCACTCTAATCACTAAGCTCTGGTATGGTCTGAGAAAGCCCCTAGAGAAGTGACATCTACTGGCAAACAGCTTTCTGCTAAAGTGTGAAATCATCTCTAAGCTACCTAGTGCTAAGACACTGTGACCTGTAAAGCAGATCCATTCAATTGTGTACTCTGCCTTTTCTTTTTTTCTGCTGAATTAGAAAAGGAAAAGGAAAAACCCTAAAAGGAAACTGTTGAAGGTTATCTGCTGATGACAGATGTTAACTTTCTAGAAAACAATCAATGAGACTAATAATACAGTAGATATGTTTAATGTCTCAAACCTTATTCAAGTCACAATCACAGTATATAAAACATTTTGTATTTGATATCTAGGTAAAAACAAGACACACTGCTAATCAAATATAATTTAAGAATACCCTGCTTGATAATAGTCATAAGTTTAATATATTTAACACAATAAGAATTCTTTGCTTACACTTTCAGATGCAGTGGGATTTTCTAACAGAGGCTGGTAATTTCTAGCAGAAGGTAAGTCTGATGAACCTAGGAAAGCAAAGAATTCAATATGAGTTTTTTTTAAATCAAACATTACCTTTAGAAACTATATGAGCATAATTCAAGAACTACACATCTGCATTAATTTGAAACCCATTGGAAGACACTTTAGATGGGAGGAAATTAAGAAAATGTAGTTAAATATATCCCAATGGAGGTTTTTGCAGTTGCTCTTTTGAAAAAATAAGGGTCAGTATGGCCAGTCAAGGAAGAGAAGTACAAAATGTTCTAAAATATTTACAAGCCATAGGTGGTAGCAATGCCTGTAATCAGGAAGATCGCCTGAGTTCGAGACCAGCCTGCACTACCTAGTGAGTTCAAGGCCAGCCTGACTACAGAGTGAGATCCTGTCTCAAAAAATCAAAACAAAATACATAGTCAACTCACTATTGGATATGGACAACCTACAGAGTTTATAAGAAAAACAATATGTATATAATACAAACACCTAATTTAACAGCAGGCGTATTATAGTATCACTGCTGTACCTCAAAAAAAAACAGCATTATAAAAGCATTTTGCTGTTTTGCACTCATTAATTTGATCCTTACAATAATAACCAGTCCAACTTACAGTAAAGTAGGTAATAGATATGTTATCTTCATTTTCATTGTGCTCCATCGGAAATAAGTGAATTGGAATACAAAAACCACCAAATGACTTAAGTTGTGCTCTTCTCTATCCAAACTGGATAGCACTATCCAAAAAGGAAGAGTACTTGGTGAAAAGCATGACCAGGGAAAATTAACCATATTATACAAGTTAGGTGTGCCCACTATAGATGTGAACAAGCACAATGTGCAAAAATCACAGTGAGCCCAAAAGAAAGGTTAAAGTTTCATTCGTTCAATCCATTCAAACAGGACCAATTTCAAACATCTGTATAAGCTGGACTCATATCTTATATTTATTTGGGAATTTAAGAATTCTCTAATTTGAAATGAAAATTAGGACCAAAGACTTACAAAAGTAAAAACTGCTGGAAAGCTGCAGTGTATGGAATCACATACCAGGTAACGTTCCATTGACAGGCGTCCCCATTCGAACTGGAAGACGTTTATTTGCAGGCAACGCTGGAGGAATACACGGCAACTCACTGTTTAGGAAAGCCAAATTATTTCCCTGATTTGGAGAAACGACCTCTTGAAGTCTCCTCGCTGGCATTTTAAGCCTTTTTTTCTTTTCCGGACTAACCTCAGAGCCTTTCATGTTCTGAGTAACAAACAGCTCCACAGTTCTGAAAAGAAGAACTTTCTTCTGGGTCCCTAAGACTTCAGAACAAAATTTTCATCTCTTCGAGGACCAAGAGAGTAGAAAAAGCAGGAAGGGGGAGAAACATGGTAAAGAATAAATGAATTCCAAATGATTATGAAACACGCAGTCATTAACATAAAAAAAAAGTCTAACCGGAATATCTGCAAAGCTGGAAATTTAAATTTCGGTATTTAACCCAAGACTAAAGACGTTTAGCCATTAATACCACTGAGTCTATTAACGCACTTAAATCTGAAAGGATGGCAAGAAAACGGCCCCTGGAACAACAGTGCGCTCCCCAACTGAGGGCTGGCAGCACAAAACCAACAGGTACAGAGGCGGGGTCAAATTTTGTTGAGAAGACGTTAGTCAAACAGGTAAAATCGAAATGCTGTTTTTACAACACCACCCAAATCCAAATAGCTTTCTCCATCCAGAGTCTTACATACGCCTCAAGATTCGACTGTCGGACACCCACATTCACCCTCCAGAGCCCAGAAACCGCGCCGCCACCGGTCTCCTCTGACTACAGCTTCAGCGGCCCGCGGGTCAACACCCACTTCCCTTAAGCCCGCCCCTAAGGCATAATACGCCTGCGTGCCGAGAAAGGCACCCGAACCATCCAACCAGAAAGTAAGTCCTCTGTGGTGCTCTCCCATCCCTCTCCGGATGGAAACAAAACTCTCGAAGTAAAAGGCTTAAAACAGATGTGAGGTTTTTACTTTAAAGGCAGCGCATCGCCCTACAAGACTGAAACGTTGAATAAAATTCGAAAGAGTCATCGAGAACTGCAGAGCTCCTAATCTGACTGGTACACTACTTGCGTTTGTCAGGGACAAATTACACTGTAGCTCCCAAAGACCGTTAGGGACGTGGGATTAAGTAAAAGTAGGCTTCCAAACAATTTCAACAGATTCGCCTCATTTTCGGAGAGGAAGGCAGGAATAGAGAGCATTGTCTAAGCAGAAAATGACAGAACTTCATTCTTATAGGATTTTAGGATTCACTGATGGTACAGTACTGGCCTTTCCTCCTAGATCTGTCTGTTTTATAACGAATCGGTGTCACAAGGTTTAAGTACTGCTTGACATCACCGCTCCCACGTGTTCTCTGCCATTCTCCGGCCAAGGCGCCCGCTTTAACCCCGACAGGCTGACAGTCGTCGCAGTCCCCCCAGCCTCGTACGGACGAAAGCCAGTGACTGAGTATGATCTCCCTTCTCTGTCCTTGCACCCCGGTTCCTAGGCGGGGGGCGGCGGGACCCAGAGCCGCGCGTCCTGGGTGTGGGGGCTGCGGGCTTGGAGACCCGGCCCTGCGCGAGTTGGAGATCGAGGCCTGGCCGCCTCCCACTCGGGCTGGGGGAGTCGGGGTCGGGGTCGGGGTCGAGTCTGGGGCCAGTGAAAGACCTGATGGTGAGGGGTGCACGGTGACCTTGAGCTGACAGGTGCGGCGCGAGACCCTAGGTAACAGAAAAACCCTTTCTGCACTCAGCCTTATCAGCACCGGAGCGGGCACCCGTCCCTGATCGGCTCGTTTTCCGAGACACAGCCTTCCCTTTATGACTTGTAGAGGCTTGGAAATAGATTAATCTATTAAAATGTTTTCTTTCTTTTACATCTCAGATGTCTACTTTCATAGAAGCCTAAAGTTAAATGGGAACTTGAGGGCCCAGCTTTGGAGAACCTTGTAATTATTCGTGTGTGTGTGTGTGTGTGTGTGTGTGTGTGTGTTTGTGTCTTGGCGAATTTCTGTAATTAATAATCATTACTTTTCATGTCACTAACATTTTCACATTTGTTATTGGCCTGTTGGGTGTAATATCTTTATAGTTTCTTCTATAAGTACTTTTTCTATATGTATTAAATGAGAGATGAACAATGTCAGAACTGCAAGAAATCTTAGAGATGACTTAACTCCCTAAATTTTTAGATGTGAAAGGAAAAAAGATGACCTTTCCCATTCAGTCTCTAAGGTCTGAGTATAAACACTCTGAAATGACTTGAATCAGTAACTAGTTTCAGCCTCACAATCCCTTTAATATCAGAGTTGGGAGTACAAATTCAGGTATTCGTGTCCCCATCCCATGCTCACAGGCTCCTTTTTTTATGCCTTGTAGCCAGCCTTTCAACATGAAAGCAAAATGAACTGTCAGAAATGTGTTTTGCTCTGGTTAACAATTACATGAGTTACAGTTGTCACTGAATCAGAAAACCTTAACTTCCTAAATCTTCTGTAAATAATCTATACTGAAGGTTCGTGTGTTAAAGTCCTTATACTGTTGTATTAAGCAAGTTAGTTAAGAATGATTTAGACATTTACTTCTAAAATAAAAGACATTAGCTGTGAAACAAAAAAAAATGACTCAAGGGTTTTTTTCATTTGCGTTTTTCCCCCACTCTTTCTACATACACATATAGATAACACTTCTTTTTGCAACTTACAAGTAAGTTGCACAATATGAACTTTAACTCTTATTTTTTTTCAGCATTTGTCCCCTTAAGGACATTCTGTTACACAACCTCAATAAGATTGTCATACTAAAGATAACATAGTTAAACTTACCCCATTACCCCACTGGTCTCTTTTTAATCTCAAATCTTTATATTTTGATTTAGGATCCAGTCAGGTTCACATTGTGTTTTCTTGTCATTACTTCATTACTCTTTAGTCTCTTTTTTTTTTTTTTTTGGTTCGCGGGATCAAACTTGGGTCCTTGTGCTTGTGAGGCAGGGGGCGGAACCACTGAGCTAAATCCCTGGCCCATTCTTTAGTCTCTTACTAATCTAGCTCAACCCTCTTTTTTTTTAAATGAGATTTTTTTTTTTTTTTAAAGACCATCCGGGGCTGGGGATTTAGCTTAGTGGTTCTGCCTCCTGCCTCACAAGCACAAGGTCCCAAGTTCGATCCCCAGTACCAAAATAAACCCAGCCAATTGTCTTTAAATTATCCAATGCTGTGGATTTTCCTAGTTATTCCATCATGATCAGAGTCCGTCCCACCATTAAATATCTAATAGTGGGACCTGTCGCGTGATGCTCAGTTACGGCAGTGACTGTCCCATCTTTCCCCTGTAAAGGAATAGTTCTCTCTCTGTGCTAAGTGACCTGTTGAGAGAATGCCTGAGGCCATGAAAATATACCGTCCCCCAACAACACATCACCTACGGGCTTTATCATCAATTCATACATGAGCTTTGCCCAAATCAGGAGATCATCAATTATCAATACCGATCTCACAAGGACAAGGAGCAACTAGAGGGAAAGCTGCCAAGGACGTCAGAAGAATCATTTACTGTACACTGAACTTGAGCCAAATCAGGATTTGACTTCAGAGTTGGTACACATTGGCATATGATGTTTTGAAAGAGTCAGGGGTTGGGCTGGGGATTTAGCGAAGTGGCAGTGCGCCTGCCTTGTTGATGCAAGGTCCTGAGTTTGATCTGTGGTACCAAAAAAGTCAGGGGCATCTCCTCATCACATTCTTGTTGGTTAATTTTTTTCAACATTCAGAAATTTCTGGAAATTGTCTATGAGTGATAAAATTCACCTAAAATAGTTTTCAGAGGACTTTGTTCGCTCTGTTGTTTTTCTTAAGTAAATGAATTTCCTGCCTGCGAAGGAAATTAAAATTTAGGGAAGGAGCTAGAAGCATTCCAGAATGTGTGGGCGAGAAAAGTAGCAAAAATAATTAAGCATTTTGGGATTGCTGGAATAAAGATCAAAAGAGCTTATAACAATTTTTTGGCTATACAGTGAATTTTTTTACATAGATGATATTCAAAATAATATATCCACCTACAAAATACTTCCAGTGAGCTATGGGTGTGATGGGAAAAATACTGGATTTTAAAGTCTGACACCTTCGTTATGCCCCAGCTGTTCAATTACTGTCAGTTCAAAGTTTCTGAACTATTCTGAATTATTAGAGGAATCATAAGTAACATATAGAATTACATAAGTATTTTTTCAAAAATAACACACCTAAGACCTGTAACCCCAGAAGAGAGAAAAATAATTTTCATTGTTGGCAAGGATGATGGGGCTAGAGACAGAGCTTGGTGGTAGAGCACTTGCCTGGCATACACAGTCACTGGGTTCCATCCCCAGCACCTGGGGCTGGGGGGCAGACCTGACTGGTCATCAATTGGAAGATGCTTTTTTATGTTTTGGTACCAGGGATTGAACTTAGGACCTTGCATTTACAAGGCAGGCTGCGGAACCACTGAGCTAAATCCCCAACCCAGGAAGATGCTTTTTAAAAAAAATAATTTAGCCAACAGAAGTTTAAATTTCATCAGAGCTTGAAGGCATGCAGTCATATTCTAACACCCTCCTTTTTCAGGTAGAAATCAGGCCTCACTGGAACCCTGAGCAGAGGGTGGACAACTGCTTCTTAGGAACTCAGGAAACTCATGCGTCAGAAAAGGTTTGAGCTTGGCGGCCAATGCAAGCCCCCTTTAGTCTTCAGTTCTGTCATATACTGTACATTGTTTGGCACAAAGAAAACTTAATCCTGCTGTAATTCTTCCCAAGACCTAAGCCAGAGGTTCTAGAATCCTCTCATCCCTTCTCTGCAGATCTCAGGGATATAACCAGAAGGTGACCCTAGTTGGGTATTTGCCTCTACAATAACACATCTGCTATAATGTCTTGAAACTAAGGTCAAATGAAGGAACGGCCACATTGCTGCTGTTCTCACCCTCAGGTGTTTTGTGTGGCCACCAGACTTTGCCTTTTTTTTTTTTTGTACCAGGGATCAAATTCCGGACCTTCTGCTTATGAGGCAGGAGGTGGCACCACTGAGCTAAATCCCTGGCCTGCCTAACTTTTGATTAAATAACTGCAAGATACTGGGCATGGTGGTTTGCACCTGTAATCCCAGCACTGAGAGGGCTGAGGCAGGAGGATTGCCTTCAGTTTGAGGCCACCCTGAACTATGGCCAGACCCTGTCTCAAAAATAAATAACTGCAAAGCCTTTGTAAATAGGGAAGGGTGGAGGGCGTGAAGGGAGGGCTAGGAATGGGGAAAAAATAAGAACCAAGATGCATTATATAAAGGTACAGTTCCCAATGAGAAATGTAATTGTGTTGTATACCTACAATGTACCAATAAAAGAATTTAATACAAATAAATAAATAAATAAATAACTGCAAAATGAATGGTGAAAGATTTAGAAGACCTGAAAACTATCACATAAATCTGAAAATCACTCAATCATCTCCAGCATTTTCTAGCAACTGTCTATAATTATGTATACCATAATCTTGATGATTATAGAGAATAACTGGAGATTTGGGCAGATTAAAGATAAGGGCTAGAGCTGGGTGTAGTAGCACATGCCTGTGATCCCAGCATTGGGGAGGCTGAGGCAGGAGGATCGCCGTGAGTTCCAGGCCAGCCTGAACTGCACAGTAAGACCCTGTCTCAAAAAACCAAAAAAAAAAAAAGACAAGTGCTATTAGCTATTGAGGTCAAGTGTAGATCTAGGAAATATCTGAATAAATATTCAAATGATTCCAGAGAAAAAATAAATCATAAGGTTAACAGTGATTTAACTCATAAAACTATTTATCTTTTATTTTACAAGTTCTCAACAGAGGATTTTTAAAGGAGGGGAGTGTTTAAGGAATATAATAGCAAGAAAATAATTTTAAATAAAGAAATTCATACCAACACTACTGGGGCAGTCCTCGTGTCTTCCCAGTGACAACTGTCATTTGTCACCATGGGTTGTATAATAAAGGGAAGGAGAGGATTGAAACAGTGTAGTGCCCTAGTCGGAAATTTACAGAACATCTAAAGATTGCATACTTTCTGCCTCTCTAGCCTCTGACTCAAAAAGTCATGTGAATTTTTACCTGAAGAGATACAAGTTTAAGAATAGGAAGAAGGGAACCAGATTTGGACATTACAGTTAATCATTGTCTAAATTTCTAAGGCTTTAAGTAAGGAAATGAGATATGTTTTCTTTTATGATGTGAACTGTAGAAAGTCCAGTTTGTTGGTACCCCCAAGGTTACAGGGAGTAAACTGTACTAGTTCAGCAATTCAAAAGGCTCAGGTCTAGTGAATCACCTTTTATACTTTCAGGTAGAAGCCTTCTGTCAAACTAAGTTCCTTAATATGTTTTATTGCTCGCTTTGTTTTGCTTTTGTTGTTTTGTTTTGTTTTGTTTTGGTGGGGTCTCGCTATGTAGCTCTGGCTGGTCTCAATTTCATATCCTCCTGGCTTAGCCTGCCAAGTACTAGGATTACAGGCATGGGCCATTGTGCCTAGCTTGCCATTGTATTTCTGAAATTCCAACAAAACAATGCTTTCATTCAGTACTTAATTCCATATATGGTATCTTAGCAGTTACTAGATCTTTTCAGACTGCTGAGTGGAAATCCAAAACTATTTACCATGCTGTGTCTTGTTTCTTGGGAGGAATTAGAATGTTGAGCGACTTCATTTTTTCTCTTTCATTAAACTTTTTATTTTGTAATTATTATAGATTTATATGCAGTTGTAAATTAATAGAGCTCTTGTGCCCTTTACCTACTTTTCCACAATGGTAATATCTTACAAAACTGGAGTACAATATCACATCCGGGATAAGGATATTGATGCAGTCACCACATAGAACATACTTATAAAAGTCTCTCACGTTGCCTTTTTGTAGCAACAGCTACTTGCCTCATACTCCCACCCCTCCTTAACCACTGGCAACCACTAGTATGTTTTCTATCTCTGTACTTCTGCTAGTAGTTCAAGAATGTTACATAAATGGAATTATACAGTATGTAGCCTTTTAGGATACATACTAAGTAAGCATAATTCTACAGGTTGTTTCTATATGGGTATCTTATCCTTTTTATTACTGAGTAGTATTCCATGGAATAGATATAACAATTGGTTCAGCCATATCTACACAAAGAACATCTGAGTTGTTTCCAGTTTTGTACCATTATGAATAAAGTTTCTGTAATCACAGATTTTTATGTGAACATAAGTTTTCATTTCTCTAGGAAAAATGCCTAGGAATGGAATTGTTGGGTCATATGGTAGTTGTATATTTACGTTCTTAAGAAACTCAGAATAACTTTAACTGTTTAATAAGTGGCTATATTATATTACAATACCACAGGGAATATGTGAGTTTTTCCTCCTTTTTGATAGTCCACAATTCCATTTTATTTTCTGTTTAAAAACTTTAACCAGGGCTGGGGATTTAGCTCAGTGGCACTGTGCCTGCCTCGTAAATGCAAGGTCCTGTGTTTGATCCCCAGTACCGCCAAAACAAAACAAAAAAAACTTTAACCATTATTTAGGTAGAGCTGTGGGCACCAAGTTTTTAATTTTCCTTCATTTGAGAATGGCTCAATTCCCCCATCACTCTTGCAGCGTATTTTTCACTAATAAAAACTTTCTATATTGACCATTCCTAACACTTGAAAAAGTTTACACCACTTCCTTCTGGCTTCCATAGTTTCTGATGAGAAATCTGATATCACCTTAGTTTTTCCCTTATAATATGATGTTTTCATTTACTGCTTCCAAAGTTTTTCTTCATTAGTGTGTCTTGATTTAGATTTCATTAGGTTAATGCTGTTGGGGGTTCATTCAGCTTCTTGAATTTGTAGGTTTATGTCTTTTGCCAAATTTGGGGAGCTTTCAGCCATTACTTCTTCCCTGGCTGGGAAAGACTAAAATGCCTGTTGCTGCTCCCCACATGGCCTCCACTGGCACTACTAGCCTCAGCATCATGGGCCAAGAATGCAAGTCCTGAATTGCAGTGAGGCCTTTGTTGGTAACTTGCTGGAGGAGAGGAAACTCAAAACTAAAAATAATGCATAGCATTTGGGTTAGTCTATAGTGTATGTGATTAGTGTTCACATATCCTTCCTTTTACATGCTGTTCAGATTCTATTTTAATAAGCTTTATTTTACATAAACCTTTTATATGAAATGTTCAACCTATTTAGAACTAGCCAAGATAGAATAAATAAGAAGTGTGATACTCTCAGATCTGGATTAACTTTAGTCTTACATTTAGCATATGTGTAAATCTGATTTAGAAAGGTTTTTTCACTACCTTGCCTTCCTTTGTTGCCCCCAAGTTAGATCACTAGTATCATGTGTTTAGAAGTTTCTGGTACATCTCTGTGATTGCCCTTTTTGAACTGCAGAATGTGTAATTCCTCTAACTTTTAGAATCTTCTAGAACTCTGAATATATTTCATTAATGCTATTGATTTTAAATGAATAGTGTTTTGGGCTGGGGATTTAGCCCAGTGGTTCCATCGCCTGCCTCGCAAGCACAAGGACCCGAGTTCAATCCCCGGTACCAAAAAAAAAATGAATAGTGTTTTGTTAACAGTAGAAATGTTGCCTTTATATAGATAATAAAAGGATAATTAGTAGCACAGGTAAACAGCCACAAAAAGTAGCACAGGTTAGAGTTAAATCAACAACCAGTGAAATTGTTAACTCAAGAAATTTAGAAAGATAGGGCTGGGTATTTAGCTCAGTGGTGCCGCCCGCCTGCCTCGCAAGTGCAAGGTCCTGAGTTCGATCCCCGGTACCAAAAAAAAAAGAAATTTAGAAAGACATAATTTTCATTAACAAGTAGTGTTTCATTTTTTGGTACCAAGGATCGAACTCGGGTCCTTGCTCTTGCACAGCAGGTGGTGAAACCACTGAGCTAAATCCCCGGCTCAACAAGTAGTGTTTTTAACAAACAGCAAGGCAACCTGCCTTTTTAAAAAACATTAGTGTTTTAGATAGGACAAGGCCTCTCAGACCCATACCTAACATTAGGCTATCTTACTCTAGACCACAAACCTCTGTTGCCATTGATGATCTTTGAGACTAGTGATGTCATATAGTTATATACAGTTAGAAATTTATAAAATATGAACAGTGATTAGCTAATTGTTCAGCTAGCCTAAAATATTTGTTTATGTATTGACAATTTTTTTTAACTTTTAAATCAGGTGACTCATAAATAAACCAAAAGAATATGGCTGCACAGATATCAGAATCTGATCAGATAAAACAGGTAAAGTATTATAATTAAGGGAGAAGGATTTTCAAAAAAATGTAAGGCACTGCTGGATACATCCATGTCAGTCATTGATCTCACAAAATAAATGTTTACATTTTACTTCCAAAAAAATGGATATTAAATGATATGAAGCATTTTTGTTTTTTAGATGAGGTCTTGTAATGCTGCCAAGGCTGTTCTCAGATCCCTGGGCTTAAATGATTTCCTACCTCAGCCTCTCAAGTAGCTGAGATGACAGGCACATTCCATCACACCTGGCTCTGAAGCATAGATATTTTTAATTTGACTACTAATGGGGGAGTAAAATAGAAAGTAAGACTATATTTCATAGATCATATTATACCTATTTAAGTTAGCAAAAGAATCTGGTTTCAAGTGCAACAATACAAAAGATCACTAAAGTCTCGTTGTAAAAACTGAATATGAAATGAACTTTGATTTCTTTGTCTGTTTATTTAGTTTAGGGAATTCCTGGGAACCTACAATAAACTTACAGAAACCTGCTTTTTGGACTGTGTTAAAGACTTCACAACAAGAGAAGTAAAACCTGAAGAGGTATGAAAAATGTTACTTACTAAAAATTCTCCAAGCTTATCATAAACCACAGCTCCCCTAAGCATTTCACTTATCCCTACTTGTTATAGAAATTTGGGCTGCCTTTTATGTGTCATTGCTTAGAGGAACCAGATCAGTCAAGGACTCGTGGCATTGTTAAAATTTAATGTGACAGTCACATTCTGCCAAGCCAGACTTTTCTAGAAAAGATGCCTGGGACTGCTGAATTACTGTTCCACAGCAGAGATTAATAATTACCATTAAGTCAAGATGGCCTATCTAGAAAAACTTGACACAGCCTTTCTATTGGCCCTTAGAATTGAGAATTGAGTTTGACTCGGGAAAAAGTAAAGCTTGAGTGTGATGGCTCATATTGCTTAAGTGGGCTCTGAAACAGTCCTATTAGAAGTCTTAACTTTCCTCATCAGAACATTTATATATCTGCCCAGAATGACATAAACTTCCTCCAGTAGAAGAAGCTGGTAAACATTTATGCCAAGCACTTAGCATATAACCAGCAATCAATAAGTACCTGTTAAACACCTGACAAAGTTAAGAAGAGAAGCTAAGTATAATACCCTTGTTAAAAAGTAAAAAGTTTTTCATTAAAAAGGAGTCAACTTGCTACTGAGTAAGTGTACATTTCAACAGTTTAAGTAAGGGATGGAATTGTGGGCTTTCAGTTCATGTTGGAACACACCTGGAGAAACTACCCTTCACAACCCTCATGAAGTCAGAGGCTACCATGGTTCTTAGTCCCTACAAATGGAAGGCATTTGGTATATATTAATTCCTGTATTCACTTGCTACCCATTAATGCTACTTAGCTTGTAGATATAGTCAAAGAATAGCAAAGTTCCTACTGGTTGTTCTTTTTAGAATACATGCATTTTTAAAAATTGATATTTTTGAATTGCCTCTTGGATCTTCCTTTTTTATTTCTAGATCACCTGTTCAGAACATTGCTTACAGAAATATTTAAAAATGACACAAAGAATATCCATGAGATTTCAGGAATACCATATTCAGCAGAATGAGGCCCTGGCAGCCAAAGCGGGACTTCTTGGCCAGCCCCGATAGAGAAGTCCCAGTGGCTGAACTCTGGGTGGAGGCTGCCATGGCTGTTGCCCTGGGAAAGAGGACTCATCAGGTGGAATCCCTGGAAGTGGTGGGCACCGTGTTGAACCATCTGTCATGACTACTTGGCAAATGGAAACCACTGGAAAAACAAATTTGCTGCTCAGCAGGAATAATTAAAATAGAGGATCTTATTATTCAGTGAAAATAATAAGATGCAACGTTAAGGTTGAGGCCTTAAGATTCAGTAGCTTGGTAACTTAATTAGAAAAATAAGCCACTGTTTCTTCAACTGTGACTGTTAATTTTAAAGCAAAATATGTGTTCAATCATGTAAGAGAAAACCATTACTGAAAGTGAAATAAATGGGACTATCACTGAGCAGTTGTTTGTAGTATATAGAACTCTGTATTCTGACTGGACTGTGGACACATTGAAGTGTTTCTCAGTCAGCTTCATTCTTCAAGGTTTCTTTTTCATGTCTGCCTCATATTGCTGGTAAATACATAAAAGAGTTACTTGCTAGTCACTGAAATGCACAACCCTTTTCTTGCCTCCCTCGTGAGGGTGGGCCTTAAATGTTCTTATTCTGTCTGCATGTTCATAGACGTTCAGGGAACATCCCATCTGAGGCTGGCTTGGGAATGCTTCCTTAAGGGTCAACTTCGTGCTGTAGTGGAGTACGTCTTGTTTTGCATTTTGTTCAAAAGCTGAGAATCCAACATGAATGGGTCTGAGTCTGACCAATAACATACAGTTTATTGTCAGCTGTGATACATCAAATAAAAAGTGAACCAGAGTTCAAGTAGATCTTAGAGCCAGTGACTCCTAAAGCAAAGCCAAACATTTGCAGGAAATTCTACTTTATGAGTAAGTACACTGAGAAATTTAGTAAATGTGAGAGAACTAATACATATTTATTAATCAGCTGTCTTTTGAATGGATTTTGTTACCAGTCTAAACTTGTGTCTAATTGTGCTCGCTTCAGCAGTACGTATACTAAACTTGTGTTTAAGGGAACATTAATTAGCCACTGTTTTAATATGTTCTTGGAAAGTGGAAGTTTTGTTCTGCTTTTAAAAAGGTAAAATGGGCCAGGCATCTTGGTACATTCCTGTAATCCCAGGAAATTGAGGCAGGAGGATCTTCAAGAGTTCTCAACCATCCTGGGCTACATAGTGAGTTCAAGGCCAGCCTGAACTACATAATGAGACCCTGTCTCAAGAAAACCACCAAAAAAAATGTTGAAACATGTATAATAGCAAAATATATAATTTGTAATAGTGGAAACATAAAAAATAGGCTGACTTTATTTAAAAGCCAGAACTAAAAATTAATTTACTAAATGTGGAAAACAAAAATTCAGACATTTTATTCATTTAAAACTTTGGACAATTCACAAACATACTTTGCTATTTTAATGTAATCAAGCCCAACATTGTTTTTTACTATGTATATTTTACAAAAATAATTAAATGTGCTCACCTGGCAAATAAGGGGAATGTTGCACAACAGCATCTCAAGTACATGGGGAGTGCATGTTTGAAAGCCTTCCAGACTTTGCAGTTGCCCATGTACTAAAAGGGCATTGCTGAGATGTTCACCTCCATTCTGTGCTCTCCTAAAATAGATGGGTAAGTTTTAAGCATAACTTTAATATTCTTTTTGTTTGGGGGGTTTTGTTTAGTTTTGCTTTGATTTTTTGAGACAGGGTCTTCCCGTGTAGTTTAGGCTGGCCTTGAAAACATTATGTAGCCCAAGCTGGCCTCAAACTTGCAATGATCTTCCTGCCTCACCCTACCAAGTGCTAAGATTACAAGCATGTGCCACCATGCCCAGCTATCATAATTTTAATACTCTTCAAAGTATGCTTTGTACAAATTACCAACCAAACAACAAGCATTAAAAATCAAAATGCATTTTTTAAAGGAAACTACAAAAAAAGTCAAAAAGTATATCAGCCTAAAGACTACTTAAGTACACAACTCCCACAAGGAGCAGAGTACATGTGAGGGGAAGTATTAAGCTTCACAGTAGTAAAGATGTAGGATGAGCAGAAGCTCACTTTTGCATTGAAAGTGTCAGTGTTCTCAGGCATGCAGAGGACAGGAAATGAGGTGTTTTTAATATTGTCTGCTCTTATTACTATGAGATAAGTTATCTTTACCTGTGTGACTGATGAAGTTAGAGATGGCCATGTAATTACAGGTGCACCTGTAATCCCAGCACTGGGATAGTTGAAGAAGGAGGATTGACATGAGTTCAAGGCCAGCGTAGATTACAATGTGGGACCCTGTCTCAAAAGATGAAAAAAAATTAATTAGAAATGAAATAACTGATGTTCTGGGTAAATTGAACTTTTAAAAAATAGACTACATTATCAAAGAGTTGAAACAAAATTTAATATGGTATAAATTAATATCCAGAGGATGGAAAGATTTATGAACTTTGATTTCTAAGTAAAGTTTTCTTTCTTTGTCTCTTTTAAGTAAAGTTTTTAAATGAGTTTGAAGATGATTGGCTGTGAAGTAACAAAGAATGAATATCTGAAGAATGGAAAACTAATCATAATATTTCCATGTAAGTTAGAACATGGAATACTCTTTCACTACTTGTTTTAATTTTAGGAAATAGGCAAATTTCAGTGGAATTATTTAATGTATCAAATCTAATTAGTGCTACAAATAGGAAAATAACTTAATTTTTGATCCTTGAGACTAGAATATACTGCATCTCTTCAGATATTATATAATCATAGAGGGTGAAATTTTGACACATATAACTAGGTAAGAAAAAATATATTTCTCTACAATTAAATATGGTAATAACTGAAACATTTTTTTCCATTTGTTGGTTGAAATACATGATCATATGAAAAGTAAATGACAGGAAAAAATGCTTTCCAAAAATTAGTACTGAGTTTTAACTGAAAAGCCATAAGGAAGATTTACATACACAATATTACATAGGTGTCAACACCTAACAGTTTTGTGCCTATTTAAATGCTGAATTTAACATATTTTCCACATAAATTTTCATTACTGAGTATTTAGCTGTATTATAGCTTTTATGGAGGTGATACATTAAATCAAAGTAAATGAACTGTGTTGGCCTTTTAAAGAAGAGATAAAACAGTGCCTGCTCTTATGGTTGACAATAAAAAAATCAATTTGGTCAATAAAGGCAAACAGCCAGTAAATTCAGTCAACCAGCTTTTCAGAAATTCAATCAAAATGACTGGCTCACTGGTCCCTATGGACATAACCACAATGGTCACAGAGCTACAGGTTAAGGCCGTCTCTGAAAACCTCCAAACTGCATGACTTTTGAACATCCGGTCCCTCCAGCCTTCCAGTGCAGATCCACACGTGACTCAGTGCACTTCTAGGCCTTCCACCTGGGACTAGGGCTGCTGTGCTCCATCATGCTAGTTTTGCGGCCCCACTTGGCTGAGCAGCTGCTGGGTCCTAGGTTCTCCAGCGCGTGGAAGGCTGTTGTGTCCTCTGCTGCCTCCAATCCCATAAGCCCACCTAATAAATCCCTTTACATAATTATAAAAAATAGTTAAGCATCTCTAATCTAAAAATTTGAAGTGACCCAAAATCTGAAACAAATGTTAACATAAGGCCACAGTGGAAAACTTTACGTACAATCCATGTCACAGGTCACAGTGCAAACATTTCTTTCTTGCAAAAGAAAAACGTTCTTGCAGTTTTTCATCCGTTGCTGGATCCCACAACTAAAAGGTTCATAAAATATTTAGAAATGAGTAATAAATATGATATATGGTTACTGATCAAAATTTTTATTTTTGTTTTTTGAGGTAGGGTCTCACTACATAGTTCAGGCCAGCCTTGAGCTAACTATGTAGCCCAGGCTGGCCTCACACTCAGGGCAATCTTCCTGCATCAGCCTCCTGAGTACTGGAATTACAGGTATATGCCACCATACACAGTTAAAATTTTCTTTAAAAAGGTCAACACTCAAAAAACAATAGCCTTGTACACAAATAACAGACTCACTGAGAGAGAAATTAGGGAAACAATTCCTTTTACAATAGCATCCAAAAA